TTGGAAAAGAGATAGTGTCTCATGTGATAAATAATGGATCCAAGACTTTTCACAGAATCAGGGAACTTTCTGAATGTGAAATATTCAGAGTCTGAAACAGAAATTCCTGCATGAAAATTCTGTAAGACTCAGAGAGGTGAAGAATTCAAATGTAATCATTGCCATACACATCGTGAAAATGAAGTAGTAATTTAAAATCTTTCCACAATTAAAAGTCCCATCCAAGATGGTTTGCTCAGGAGTTCTGTTGAATACTTAAGAAGAAATAATAGGAATTCCTCAGAAGTTCTTTCAGAAAATTAAGAGTGGAGCATTTCTCACCTCATTCTCTGGAGCCAGTATTACTCAGAGAATAAAACCAGAAAAGGGGGGTGCCTGGGTGGCTCAGTTGGTTAAACGTCTGACTTCAGCTCAGGTCATGATCTCACCGTTTGTGGCTTCAAGCCCCACATCAGGCTCTGTGCTGACAGCTTGGAGCCTGGAGTTTGCTTCGGATTCTGTGTCTCCCTGTCTCTCTTCCCCTCCCCTGCTCATGCTCTGTCTCAAAAATAAACATGAAAAAAATTTTTAATTAAAAAAAAAATAAAACCAGAGAAGGACATCACAAGGAAAAACATACAAACTATCGACCAATATTCCTCAAAAATAGGAAAGAAGGAACAAATAAGTCACTGGCACTTAAATCCTTCTCTGGTTTTGCTTTCAGGAACCCCACCTAAGATAATAGTAACGTTCCAAATCTAAAAAGAACCAAGAAGAAGAGTGGAGGGATAGGGAAAGAAGTTTTATAAGGGAAATTCCTATAAAGGACATTATTGGGCATAATTTGGGAAATTTGAAAATGTACTGGATATTAGGAAATATGGCTGTTTCAATGCTTAATTTCTTGGCTCTGATAATGATGCTGAGTTCAGCTGGAGAATGTTCCTGTTCTTAGGAGATACATGATGAAGTGTTTACAAGTGAAGCATCACTAATATCTGTAACTTATTTTCAAACGGTAAGAAAAAAAAGAGAGCAGGTGTGAAAACTGTTAATAATTTGTGATTCCAAGTGAATAATGTACACATATTCATTATCCTTTTGATTTTTCTGTTCATCTTTTTTTAAAAAATAAAATGGATTAGAGAAGTGAAAAAACCACAGCTACCACTACATACCTATCAGAATGGCTAAAATTTTTAAAAATTAAAAACAGGCAATACCAATTACTGTTGGCAATATGGAGAAAGTGATGTGGGCTCTCATACACCGCTGGTGAGAGGGCAAAATGGTACAGCAGCTTTGGCAAACAGGTGGTCATTTCTCATAGTTAAAAAGTAGACTTACCGGGGCACCTGGGTGGCTCAGTCGGTTGGGCGGCCGACTTCGGCTCAGGTCACGATCTCACAGTCCGTGAGTTCGAGCCCCACATCAGGCTCTGGGCTGATGGCTCAGAGCCTGGAGCCTGCTTCCGATTCTGTGTCTCCCTCTCTCTCTGCCCCTCCCCCAATCATGCTCTGTCTCTCTCTGTCTCAAAAATAAAAAAAACGTTAAAAAAAAAAAAAGTAGACTTACCTAAATTTCCTCTCCTAGCTGTTTACCAGAGATATGAAAACTTATGTCCACATATAAAACTATACATCAATGTTTATAGTGACTTTATTCATAACAAACTGGAAACTGGAGACAGTGCAAATGTCCCTTAACTGGGAAAGGCATACACTGTGATACATCCATACAATAAAATATTACTTCACAATAAAAAGAAATAAACTACTGATACAGCAACATGGATGAATATCCAATATATTACGCAAAGACTCAAAAGCTATATATTGTATAATCCATTTATATGACAGTCTGAAAAAGGTAAATTATAAGGACAGAAAACAGATCAGTAGGTGGGCTGAGGGTGAAATAAGGAGTTGGCTACAAAGACACATGCCTCCATGTGTCTTTGGAGACTTCCTAGAAAGATAGAACTGTTCTATAGAACTATAGAACTTTCTAGAATGATAGAACTGTTCTATACTTTTTGGTGGTGGTTACATGATGATATGTGCTCAGGACTATATGCTAAAAGGGGTGAATGTACTTTATATCTTAATAAAAAATGTATCTTAATTTTAAAACTAAATAACTAAATGTTATTTAAAAAGTCAAGTCAGTCCTCTCTCTAAACCATCCAATGGAGTCTTACCCAGAATAAACAGCAAAGTCATTGCAATAGCTTATCATCTGGCATCCTTTCAGCTCTCTGATCTCATATGGTACTTCTCTTCCCCTCCCTCAATCTGTTCGAGCCACATTGGCCACTTTCTATTCCCGAAACCTATCAAGTCATGTGTCCACCTCAGAGCCTTTGCACCTCACCTATTCCCTCTGCTCTTCCCCCAGATGGCTATATAACTTGTTTACTCTAATATCACCTTTACACTAACATCTTCTTCCTAATCCCTCCTTACACTGGTACTCCTTTTGTCCATGTTACTTTTCATTATCAAACATACCATGTGTATATAATACTTTAACATTTATTTAGTATAATTTCTGTCTCTCTCAAGAGAGGGGAGGGCTTCTTCAGAATTTTTTAACAGCTATGGCATATGCACTCACAACAGTGCTTAACATATAGTAGTAAGTTGAATAAATGGTATTCATTGGTTGAATAAATGAATTGAGATATAATGGAAGAGTCATTATTTCACCCATCCATGCTCTACACTCAATTTCACTTGCATACTTTTTATAACACACTAAAAATCAATCTTATCATAATTATTAAGGAAGTGGACCTTTATTCTAATTCCACTTTTATGAGAAAAAAGTAAATGATGAAAAAACAGAATTATTAAGCATATATTTGTAAAAACAGTATCTACATGTCCATAGAATAAACACAAATTCATCTGGATTCAGATGTAAATCACTTAGATCTGAAATATGGAATGAAGTGCTCATTTGCTCTTCCTCCTCTGTGAAGCCTTCATTCCTATCTCTTTCCTCCCAACCACTGAGCTCTCAAAGGGAGTTGGTTCACTTTCAGCTTCCCACCATCCACTCTGTGCTTCATGCATGCTGCACTTGTCACACGAAATTTTATTTGCAAGGATCTTAAGGTTAAGAATGTTAGGGGCACCTGGGTGGCTCAGTTGGTCAAGCATCTGACTTTGGCTCAGGTCATAATCTCATGGTTCGTGAATTCAAGCCCCTCCACGCTGGTAGTGCAGAGCCTGCTTGGGATTCCCTCTCTCTCTCTCTCTGCCCCTGCCCCACTCATGCGTGCTCATGCTCTCTAGCTCTCTAACTCAAAATAAATGAAAAAAAAAAAAAAAAAGAAAAGAAGTTAAATTATGTGTTCCAACTGCCTAGCCTAGCACCAGGCATAAAGAGGTTTAATAAAGGATCATTGAGTTGAATGTAAATGAGTTGATTTTTGAAGTCATAGATTTGAAGTCTTCAGAATTGTGAATTATCAAGGAAATGCTGAGTTGATTATTCTATCCAGTTATAGATATATAATAGATATAATGAATAATCTGTATCTATATAGACATACATCTAGATATATAGATACAGACATAGATATTTTGAAGAGAGTTTCATTGACTATCCCGAAACCACAGAGTTGATTTGGTTCAGTAGCTCAGACACCATTTGTAGAGTTTTCTGATCAATCAAAATTTTAGTAGACTTAATCTTATGCATGAATTTCTCTTCTTAAGGAAACTTTGAGGAGGGGGAAGACACGGGACGGGATCTGGATTAGAAAGAAGTAGAGCAAAAAAGGTTAATTTTTTTTTTAAAGCATGCTGTAGGAATTCTTATGAGAAAGCTGTGATCAAGGCCATGAGAAAACTTCCAAGCTACTTCATCCTTGGGATGACTTCATTGTGGTTATCAAAGTTTCTACTTTGACAGAGATAGCATTCAGTAAGAAGGCATATGTTTCAACTGAAAGTCAAGGATACCAGGAAAAAAGAAATTTGAGTCCCAACTGCCTCCATTGGAGTCCAACCTGTATAATATTTTCCTAATTGTTTTTTCACTTTCAGACTCAATAGCCCATTTAAATTGTCTTCAAATTGATCTTCCTACCACAGAGTTGTGACAATGTTTTTCCAGTGCTCAAAAAACAAGCCACATTTCCTGAAGGACTCCATCTGAACATCTTTCAAAGCATGACCCTTTTATAATATGGTCTCAGGGCATATTTTCATCAGCATATTCCATGAGGCTTCTATGCACACATAGCATGGGAACCAGACCGGACCAAACCAAACATTTATTCTTCAGTCGTACCCCACGAGTTTTCTCTCTCTTCCTTTCTTTAACCAGCTCCCTCCTCCTGGAGTGTTCACTCCTCATAGTACTTTTATCAAACTTCCGACAGACTATCCATCCAGTTATCTTACACAGCCTTTCACGATCTCTCCCAGTCTGGTGGGCTCTCTCTCTCTTTTCTGATCCATCATGGACCTTTACACCTCCCTAGCAGGTCCCAGCTTTAACCATAATTGTACACGCATTTGTCTTATTTCTGCTTTCTCATGCCACCCCTGCCTGATTTTGAAAATCTGACCTGGTTACTTTTATTTACTATAGGTGATAGCATAGAACATTTTCTACATCATGTTCTCAGTTTTTCTCTCTTTATAAAAATGTATTTATTTTGAGAGAAAGAGGGAGTGAGAAAGAGAGTGAGAACATGAGCGGGGGAGGGGCAGAGGGAGAGAGAGAGAATCCCAAGCAGGATCCTTACTGTCAGCACAGAGCCCACCACACAGCTCAATCCCGCGAACTGCCAGATCTGAGCTCAAACCAAGAGTCGGATGCTTAACTGACTGAGCCACCTCAGTCAGTATTTCTTGATTTGTAAAGTTGACTAAGTCTCGGGAGAGACACTGTGAAATCACAATTGTTGATCTCAGTAGCCAAACCTAGTTTAGGTGTCCTCAAGAAGTTTTCCAAAGATTTATTACAGGGATCTATAAGAAGACAATGGTGTCTTTTTTTTTTCTCTCATTCTCAAATCCCTCAAATTCCATACAATACAGATAGGGGGGGCAGTGGGGTGGGTGGAAATCCCTTCACAGAGTACTGGACTAGGGAAAAGGAGATATTCTGGCCATTGTCATTTAATTAATCTGAGTGTCATCTGGAAGATGAACAGTCTAGATTAAGTATCTTTAATTTTTCTAACACTAAAGCTTAACAATTTAAATAACATCATGCTGTAATCTGGAAGAAAGAAGTCACCGCTCGGTTATGCTCAATGTACAGAAATTGACAAGCTGAAAACAGAGGGTGGTTTCTGGCCAGCAAATTGGTTTCCCTTCTATGCTTTGTCTGAAGACAGAGACGTTACATCTATCGCTAGGCCGCTGTCTCTGCCACCTGATTTAGACACGTGTCCTGCATGGCAGGCAGTCATCCTACACAACTGCCGGAGCTTAAACTCCTGAGGGGAATCTAATATTCAAATGGAGAGGATTAGTTTTTTGTTGGAAACTTATGGAATATCAATTCAAAATAAATTTGAATATTCAAGTGTTCAAATCAAGATATATAAATATTTCATTATCCTACTACTGTACTTTCATTCTACTTCGAGAAATTAAATCACACAGATGTAACCAAGTTCATTTTTTAAGTGGAGAAAAGTTAGAATTCAGAGTGCTTCAAAGGTCAGTGTTCAGAGGAAATCAGATGACAGGTGCATCATGTTTTAGTCCTAGATTCTGCTCATAATTCATAACGGGAAAATCTATAGCTCTATATGCTAGTTCAGAGGTGAATAATAATGATAAAAAAGATACTTTCTTCCTGCTCTGCTGTCTATTCACATTTTATAAATACTTGGAAGTAATTTTACATCTGTATCTGAATATTAAAAATACAATTTTGTTTGAACATACAATATAGTTGTATATGAATCATGCATATAAAATAGTACTATTAGGAAAACTGCTTTAGAACATAGTGATTACCTGCCTTAAAGGAAAATAGAACTTTAAAGCAATAAGGCTGACTTTAAATTGTGCGTAGAACCAGTAATTGTGTATTTAAGGCAATTAAAAGATTTATTGAATCTCGGTTAAAAGTAGATTGACAATGACATTAAACAATAAAGTATAATTTATTTGGTGCTACTTTGTGAATGCTCCTTAACTACAAATCATCTCACGATACCATATACAATATACTGTCAATCACAACTCAAACATAAAATAACCTACAAAATCGCATGGCTATCATCAATATACACTGATTATATTTTTAAAAGAAAGTTAGTAATTAATTAAGGTGCAGTAACTTTTTTCAAATAAAATATTAGCACCATACCAGATATAATGATCTAAAACTATTGGCCTTCTCAAACGTCTTAAATAACTAAATATAAACATTTTTTTTTCAAAGCACAAATATTAATTTGCAAAATCAGTTCTACAGTCGTTAATATTTCTCTCTTTCATTGCATTTTTCCCCGGTAGGGAAAAATATGAAGTAAAAACGTTGACAGGATATGAAAATCAAACACATAGATCTAACCAAAGAAAAGGCTGTTCTTCAGCAATGTGTTCCAACAGAAGCGAAAGTGGACATTTCGCGGCGGATGGTACTGAAAGGCGAGAGTTCGAGTTCTGTGGTGTATTCGTTGTCATTGTCGTCGCTGGTCACTGTTGAAGACTTCTGAATGCACTCATCACAGCAACAGCAGCAACACTCCATGAAGGCCCGACTGAAGGGTTTGCAAAGACAGAAAAGGAGGACAGGGGTGACACAGGACTTAAAGAACAAAAGGAACTGGCTGATGATATAAAGCAGGTCCATGGTCTGCTGGGAAACCCCCGTAGCCATGTAGGCAGTAACGATGTTGCAGATATTTTCAGGAATAATGCAAAACCCATACAAAATGGTCAGAGCCACCACTGTACAGTTCATCTGGCTTTCCAGCTGAATCTGTCGCTTATTCCCTCGGGTACAGGCTTTCTCCGCTTTGCGGATTTTCCTCGCAGTCACTAAAGAGCAGGTGATGGTGAAAAGTGTGGGCAAACAAAAGTAACAGCCGAAGTACCACCAGAGTCTTGCGCTGTCATAGGTAAGGGCTAGAACGTAGATGGTGTCCGGTAAGTCAGGGGAGACCTTGATGACGCAGCGTTCCGCGGGAGCTCGGCCACTAAACCCCAAATCCTCCTTGCTCAGCTGGCGGAGAACGACTTCTGGAAGTGCTAACAGTAGGGCACCCACCCATATAACAGCAAGCTTGGCAGTTGTGGAAGAACAATTCTCGATCATTTCATAGTACATCTGCACGTTGGTGGCTGCTCGGAAGCGGTCTATACACAGAGCACATAAGGTGAAGGTAGTGACTCCGAGGGAAGCCACCTGCGGGAGGAGCACAGAATGCGTTTATTCCGGGTGATCTCTGAAAGATCGGAATCCTAGGCAATAAATACAGATTGGCAAAACGGGGAAAAAACAAAACAAACGAAAAAACACAAATAGAACAATTTCCTGGAATGAGGCACGGTTAACTCGTTAACTGGGTTGGTGACATTTGCCAAATCATTGTGAAGATGAAAATAGGCAGGAAAAAAAAGGAAAGAAATGTAGTGGTTCAGGGTCATGGAGTCAGAAAAATTTACAGCTGGAAGGATCCATAAGGACCCACTAGTCCAATACCACTTTGTTATTGAAAAGAACACAGACACCCCAAGAATTTCAGTCACCACAAAAATGCCTGCCACCAGAAGATCTAGATAAGGAAGGATAGTTGAGTATATCCCATTTTCATTACTAAAAGGATAATCATGTTTTCCAGTGTGGGGGCCGATAGCACACCTCACACACAGCAAACATTTAAGAGCTTATCGGGGCGCCTGGGTGGCTCAGTCAGTTACATGTCTGACTCTTGTTTCAGCTCAGGTCATGATCTCACAGTTTGTGAGTTCTCTCTGCACTGACAGCACAAAGCCTGCTTGGGATTCTGTCTCTCTCTCTCTCTCTCTCTCTCTCTCCCTCAAATAAATAAACTTAAAACATACAAGAGTTTATTTCCAACAAATGAGATGAGTAGAGATCTCCAATTTCTCCTAATGTAAAATAAAGTATTTTAATATTATTTTCAAATGATATACTTCCGGAAAACAAGAAAGGCAAACTCTCCAGAATTTGAAATCGATGAAAAAACAAATGCCCAACAGGTCAGTGACTCCTCCCCCTGCACATTGCATGCTTGCCCTAGGGATATCTGCATTTCCTAGTGAGAGTTTCAGGTTGGTTTTAGCCAGAGGGATGGGGCCAGGTACCCAGGTAGAGAGGTAAGAAACAAGGCTAGGGTCAGTGTTTGTGGGGATTAGGTCAAAGATCCCCTTATGAATTTCAAATTCCCCAAATAGTGACATCTTCATGGGTATATAGAGAAAAAACATAAAGGGAAATAGTAGAGAAACTCGTCTGCATTACATGATTTGGATCTAGGTGAACTGGAGATTTAAAGGGCAAATTCTAACCAGGAGCCCGAATTACACTGGCTTAAGGCCAGAATTAACACCATCTATGTGGCTCAGAAAAACCCAAATTACAATTTTAAATTGTCCCAGGCACCTGGTGGAAGAAAGCACAAACCTCTCTGGAAAAACGCACTTTAAAAGCGGGCCTCAGAGAAATCCACAGATAAAACTCAAGGGAACATGAATTCAAAATTAAAAATCACGATATGCAAGAGACAACCCACCACTTGTGAACTTATGTGCCAAAAGAAGCAAGGTACAGAATCAGGCATATATCAGCCGTATACATTTACCATGAAATAAGTACATTATCAAATTTAAAATTATATGATACTCGGGGCGCCTGGGTGGCGCAGTCGGTTAAGCGTCCGACTTCAGCCAGGTCACGATCTCGCGGTCCGTGAGTTCGAGCCCCTCGTCGGGCTCTGGGCTGATGGCTCAGAGCCTGGAGCCTGTTTCCGATTCTGTGTCTCCCTCTCTCTCTGCCCCTCCCCTGTTCATGCTCTGTCTCTCTCTGTCCCAAAAATAAATAAACGTTGAAAAAAAAAATTTAAAATTATATGATACTAAAAGAATGTCAAAGAAATAGGAGATATAAAAAGTAACCATGAAAATATGCAAAAAGGAGCCAGATATAATGTCTAAATATACCAGTCATAGGAAAATTTCAGATCAAAGAACCCTTTGACACTGCCCACATAGAGCCCTGTATCCAAACTCATATATGCGCATGGCCCAGGCATCTAACTAAATCAACAATTAAAGGTTAACAACCAAAACTATGTACATATTTTTTTCACACAGATACTTTGCCAGGAATATAAATGCATGTTCCTAATGTAAACATACTATCATTCTGTAGTCTGTAAAATATTTACAAACATCATACACTCTAATAGGGTACACAGACATGTACTCAACGCAAACATTTATTGATATCGATTATGTGCAAACACTCTGCTAGATATTGGGGATATAGAAAGAAACAAGAAACCGTTCTTTCCCTCAGAGAGGTCATAGTCAGCCAAGAGGCGGAAGGTGGTTCTCACAGTCACAAGATAAACACGGTCGTCATCTGGGAGCACCAGATTTACTCAACTATTCAGAGGAAATTGAAGTAATTTAATGTTTAATACATGTAGCCATTATTTATATACTTAAGTAAAGACAATGAAGGTAGATGGTAAACTGTCCATGAGGTTTAAGATGAAACAGGAGACAAAAACTCCCTAGGTGGGAAAGATGTTTTGGGGTGTACCTTGGACACTCGGTATGTGCATGCACTCTCCTCTGGCAGCTATTGGTCATGCCTTGGCAAAGGGGCAAGGGGGAAATACACACACACACACACACACACACACACACACATACATATATACATATATATTAGACATATATATATCACATATATATACTGGACATATATATAATAGACATTAACATTATATATATATATATAATTAGACATTAACATTTTGTAAATGTTAATGTCTAATTTTTTGGAACTCAAAGGGATCATGTTGAAGAAAGGAAAACCATTTGTCATAACAATTTGGACACTCAACACATTGGTTGTTTATCTGCCACATTCAAGCTGTCACTCTCCACAGTAATGATGGCAACTTGCCTTGCAGATTCTACGAGAGTTCCAATGTCCAATGTTCTCCCCTTTTTACACGCAACACATTAGTCAACGTCTACCAGTCCCGCTACAGAAAGTAAGGACGTGGCATCCATGCCCTGACTATTCTCACAACTCTTAGTTGAGACAGTCTGAAAACGAGATGTAATGAGGGCTTAAGTGTATGAAAAGCAAAACTGAAGAAAAAGTATGACTCACAATCCACATCAAGGCAGATCAAGACTACATGACTGAGCTTATAAGCACAATTCCTGTTGTACAAAATCTTCAGAAAGTTTTCCATACATACCAATACAAGGAATATCAATCCGATATGACTGCCGTAAAAAGTCATCTCTACATACACGTTTTAAAAATTAACCTTCAAATTAATGAATTGTTCATCTTGATGGTAATTTATTTTGCATCTCTGCCAGAGATTCAAAATAATTCTAAAATTGAGGCCCCTGCTGTGCGACTGTCTTAAGATCAGATCTGTCAGTAACTGCCACACTTTGAATGGAAACCCGAGGACTTGCTCTCTTCTCAAGGTCTGTATCAAACAGTATTACTTAGAAATTGCAGTATTTTATTTCATGGATTTCTGAAACATTACATTTACATACTAGTTTTTCAAGCAGTTTGATTCATTTCTCTAGAAGAACATAAAACAACAAAAGGTTCTCCAACTATCAAATGCACACACATCTTCAGCAAGGCTTTCTGTGTCATCTTCACTAATGCAAATCTTTGTGCATGTCACCCATGTATCCTGAGTCAGTCCATAAAGAAAGCTACAAAGGTTAATGCTGTGCATTCTTTTATAATTATGAATAGCATTTCTATTAAAAGGAAAGCTTGGTAAGACAAAAACACTAGGGAATCTGACAACAGGCAATCTCTCAGAGACTTGGAACATCTCTTTGCTTGGTAGTTTTCTATCATTCTTTACAAAGAACACATAACACTCAAGAGATAGCATCTTCTCCCCTGATTAATCTCCTTAATTTTAAACACAGAGATTTAAGATCTGGACCAATGATCACAAGAGCTAGCATTTGCATACCTAACTCTCAGTCTGTTGCAAAGCATTTCATGAAAGGTAATAACCGATGAACGTAGGTGGACATGTACTAAGAAGGGTGTGTTAGATTGCCTCTCCTTAGATATTTATGAACTGTGATACATATCCACTTTTAATTAGAAGAAGTTTACTTGCTAGAAAACCAAAAAATGCTTTCTAGGTTCTGTATATTTCATTGCACATGATAACAAAAGCCAGAGCAAGTTTTAAGCAAAATTTACATGTGCTCCTACTTTCACTCAGGAATTCTATGCTATTTTTTTTTAGTTTATTTGCATGTGAAAGCAGGGGAGGGGCAGAGAGAGCGAGGGAGAGAGAGAATCCCAAGCAGGCTCCATGCTATAAGCCTGAGCCCATCGCGGGACTTGATCCCACCAATCGTGAGATCATGACCTGAGCAGAAACCAAGAGTCTGGTGCTTAACCGACCGAGCCACACAGGCACCCTTCCACATTGTATTTTATTTGCAGATGCTTAGTTCTTCAGCCATATTCTCAAAAGCTTTAGGACTGAGCACCAAATATGTTTAAAAGAACATATTTGATCTGTAATCCAAATCGCGGTTTGAGGGAAGCTTCCCAAGTTTCATACACAAGTTTCAGGAGGCTCCTGCACCTAGTTTCTTGTTGTCAAATCGCACTTCTCTCTGATAGCATTCTCCTCCGTTAGTATCCAGCTGAAGCAGGAAAGTCACAAGAGCTGGGGCCTTGGAGTAAAATGCTGCCCCAAATGCAGATGGCACTTACCATGTAGTCGCCAACAGCAACCGCAGCCCCAAGGCCAGTCCTAGATGTCTCCTCCCTCTTACTGCCACTGCCTGCAGTGCTATCACTTCAGATACTTTTCTGCAAATCTACTTATGCACTTGATTTTATGAAGCGAAAGAGCAAGAAAGGTACAAAGCCCCTGCTCAGTACATCCCCAAATTATTTATAGAAGGCTTTAAACATCTGTAAAGAATCCACTTCAGAAATTAATTGATAAAAAACATCTGGATCATGGGTGGTGGGCTAATTTCTGCTATCTCAGATATAAAATCTATCCATGCAATTAAAAATGCAAAATGTTGGTGTAACATGAAAAGATCTCTATCACAATTTTCAAACATATTTGTTTACTTACAGCTCATTAGAAATTCTACCGAGATGAATAGTGCAATTTTATGCAA